TGACAAAAGTAACTAGTCCGCACTTATTATATTTCTCCGCTTAATATTTAGACCTGGGTAAAATATTTATTGTATGTCTCATTAATTTAGGACTTGTTATGTGTGTGCACTAAAAAACTCTAACTTGCGCTAAAATCACATATCATATAGTATAATATCACATATTTGATATTCAAATATCAACAAAAATTCGTCGAAATCATGAATATTTGCAAATTATTTTGTAGTTAAAAATAATAAAAAAAATTGTAGAAGTAACTAAGAGTTGAAAATTTAATACTAGATTTTCCATAAGTTTGGATTACAATAATTATATAAGAACTTAAACGTTGGCCAATTATAACATTTTATCCTTAACTTAAATGTGTATGAAATCCAAAATTCATTCGTAAAATAACGATTTATTATGAACAGAGCCCAACTTAGGGGGGGGGGGGCTGCTGCCCCGGGCCCTGATGTTATTTGGGGCCCCGAGCCTCTGTTGATATTTAATTATTAAAGTGACATTTTGAAATAATTGTATGRTATTATTGGTTACGTAGTTTCGTTAGTCACGTAGGTATCGTAATGGAATTTATAATAAATTATTTTCTAATYGATAACATAAGCTAATAAGTTTTAAGATAAAGTTGGTCAAAAGCACTTTATATCGTTATGATTACAATTTATGTACCGACATTTCTTTATTTATATTCATATTTTTTATTTCATCGTTTCATTTTTATTAATATTTATTAADTAATTAAGGTACGTTTTCCTTACAGCGTCCGGACCTTGCGGTTAGTCGACACTATAGTACGGCCAGCGAAAAATAAGCCGCGACGGCAACGTTACTAGTGGTGCATTTTAGTGTAATCAGGGGTTCTCCGTTTGAAGCTATTGGCGCGCTATATAACAACATGTTTGGAATTAATGTACGCGGCAAATAGTTGTAGAAGCCCTAACGAAATTCGGCCACCCAGAGCGTTGGTATCGCGGCTCATTTTTCGCTGGCCGTACTATAGTCGCGGCATTCAAACGCTGCGTCAAAACGGTTTTACA